GAACATCACAATGGTTAAATATAGGACAGTTGGAACACCACTATGGTTCAATGTTGGACAGTTGGAACACCACTAAGGTTAAACGAGGATAGTTGGAACACAACTAGGGTTAAATTTTGGACAGTTGGAACACAACTAGTGTTAAATATTGGACAGTTGGAAAAGGACTATGGTTAAAGTAGACAGTTGGATCACCACTTTGGTTCAATGTGGACAGTTGGAACACCACTATGGTTAAATGTTGGACAGTTGGAACACCACTATGGTTAAATGTTGGACAGTTGGAACACCACTATGGTTAAATGTTGGACAGTTGTAACACCACTATGGTAAAATGTTGGACAGTTGGAAAACCACTATGGTTAAACGTGGATAGTTGTAACACCACTATGGTTAAACGTGGACAGTTGGAACATCATTATGGTTCAATGTTGGACAGTTGGAAAACCACTATGGTTAAATGTTGGACAGTTGGAAAACCACTATGGTTAAAGTAGACAGTTGGATCACAAGTTTGGTTAAATGTGGACAGTTGCTACACCACTATGGTTAAATATTGGATAGTTGGAACACCACTATGGTTAAATATTGGATAGTTGGAACACCACTATGGTTAAACGTTGAACAGTTGCAACACCACTAAGGCTAAATATTGGATACCTGGAACACCACTATGGTTAAATATGGATAGTTGGAACACCACTATGGTTAAACGTTGGACAGTTGCAACACCACTAAGGCTAAATATTGGATAGTTGGAACACCACTTTGGTTAAATGTTGGACAGTTGGAAAACCACTATGGTAAAATATTGGATAGTTGGAACACCACTATGGTTAAACATTGGACAGTTGGAGCACCACTAAGGCTATATATTGGATAGTTGGATCACCACTTTGGTTAAATGTTGGACAGTTGGAAAACCACTATGGTTAAACGAGGACAGTTGCAACACCACTAAGGCTAAATATTGGATAGTTGGAACACCACTATGGTTAAACGTTGGACAGTTGGAACACCATTAAGGCTAAATATAGGAGAGTTGGAACACCACTAAAGCTAAATATTGGATAGTTGGATCACCACTTTGGTTAAATGTTGGACAGTTGGAAAACCACTATGGTTAAATATTGGATAGTTTGAACACCACTATGGTTAAAAGTTGGACAGTTGGAGCACCACTAAGGCTAAATATAGGACAGTTGGAACACCACTATGGTTAAATATAGGACAGTTGGAACACCACTATGGTTAAATATAGGACAGTTGGAACACCACTAGTGTTAAAAGTAGGACAGTTGGAACAGCACTAAGATGAAAAAATAGGACAGTTGGAACACCACTATGGTTAAATATAGGACAGTTGGAACACCACTAGTGTTAAAAATAGGACAGTTGGAACACCACCATTGGTAAACGGGGACAGTTGGAACACCACTATGGTTAAATATAAGACACTTGGAACACTACGATGGTTAAATGTTGGATAGTTGGAACACCATTATGGTTAAATATAGGACAGTTGGAACACCACTATGGTTAAACGTTGGACAGTTGCCACACCACTAAGGCTAAATATAGGACAGTTGGAACACCACTATAGTTCAATATAGGACAGTTGGAAGAGCACTATGGTTAAATATAGGACAGTTCGAACACAAATAGAGTTAAATATAGGACAGTTGGAACACCACTATGGTTAAACGATGGACAGTTGGAACATCACTATGGTTAAATATAGGACAGTTGGAACACCACTATGGTTCAATGTTGGACAGTTGGAACACCACTATGGTTAAATGTTGGACATTTGGAAAACCACTATGGTTAAACGTGGATAGTTGGAACACCACCAAGGTTAAACGAGGATAGTTGGAACGCAACTAGGGTTAAATGTTGGACAGTTGGAAAACAACTATGGTTAAATATTGGATAGTTGGAACACCACTATGGTTGAACGTTGGACAGTTTGAAAACCACTATGGTTAAACGAGGACAGTTGCAACACCACTAAGGCTAAATATTGGATAGTTGGATCACCACTTTGGTTAAATGTTGGACAGTTGGAAAACCACTATGGTTAAACGAGGACAGTTGCAACACCACTAAGGCTAAATATTGGATAGTTGGAACACCACTATGGTTAAACTTTGGACAGTTGGAACACCATTAAGGCTAAATATAGGACAGTTGGAACACCACTAAGGCTAAATATAGGACAGTTGGAACAACAATATGGTTAAATGTTGGACAGTTGGAAAACCACTATGGTTAAATATTGGATAGTTTGAACACCACTATGGTTAAACGTTGGACAGTTGGAGCACCACTAAGGCTAAATATTGGACAGTTGGAACACCACTTTGGTTAAATGTTGGACAGTTGCAACACCACTAAGGCTAAATATAGGACAGTTGGAACACCACTAAGACTAAATATAGGACAGTTGGAACACCACTATGGTTACATATAGGACAGTTGGAACACCACTATGGTTAAACGTTGGACAGTTGCAACACCACTAAGGCTAAATATTGGATAGTTGGAACACCACTATGGTTCCAAATATTTAGCCACTGGATTTATGCATCAGACATTTGAAACACCCCTTTAGTTTAAAGTTGGATTTGCTGGATGAATGCAGATAGTGAAAGGGCAATTCTGAACCAGGCAATCCTGGGACTGATGTTCGGAACAGCAATACACACTGCAGGGTTTGCTGACAGACAATCAACATTCACTGAACCTGAATTCTGTGATACAAAGCCTGTCTCACCGTCCTGAACTGCATTATTTCCCCTTCAGCCCAGTTCATTCTGCAATGCTAATTCCCTAAATGAATTAAGTCTAGATTTCCTCAAGTTCAGGATGACTCTCATATCCGATTGGGGCTCTTAATCAATTTAATTAAAATAAAATTCTATATATTCAGTGACTAAGCATTAGTCTATGTAATATATTCAGTTGCCTCAATGGTGATTGAGAGAATAGAAGATAAACAGACTTGTTTTATTTCTTTTCATATTTGTTTTTTTCTTTAAGACCCACTTTCTTTCTGAAGGGCACTCGTGAACATCTTTAGAATTCCATGAGGGGTCAACACGGTCAATATCAGAAAACAATGATCCATGGAATCCAGCTCCTGAGGGGTCTGACCACAACAAGCTGTAGGACAAGGTCCAGTCAGATGTCAATTAGTGAGTTGAGTTTTACGTGGCACTCAGAAATATTCCAGCTATATGGCGACGGTCAGTAAATAATCAAGTCTGGAACCGATAATCAAGTGATCAACAGCATGAGCATCAATCTACGCAATTGGAATACGACTACATTTGTCAACAACGTCAGCGAGCATGACCACCCAATCCATGATGTCAGCTCAGCTCATGAGTATAAATGTAGTTTTTTCTAAATAATTCATCAACATTTTGTAATTAATTAATTCTAAATAAAGGAAGGGCTGTGAAAGCATAATTTGTGATGTTACCATCTGTTGTGAGTAATCTGATGCAGTGCACGGTTGTATGAATATATTTTGGGAGTATTTTACAAACACCGGAGTCAAATACGCAGGAATTGTGTTGATCCATGAGTATCACAGGGTCTTCGACGATGTAAGACAAAAACATAATTTTTATCTTTGATATCATTTAAAGTTTTTATTTTACTACCCCTGAGTGATAAAGGATATATTCATCTATTTCACAAAAAATATCAAGTGTTTCCTACAAAAATAGTGTTGATGACATTGTATCGGCGAAACTTTTGCCACTCTCCACATCCGTGTATTTGTATGGGTTTTCGACGATGTACCATGCTTTTTGCTCCGCACTGCGAGGGCGTGTTGTGAGCTGAATTTTCGCTTGCTATTATTTGTTCTATAGGCAATTGATTTTGCATCTGAAGTGGTAAAAGGGTTAGAATGAACCTTCAGTAACCCATGCTTGTCGTAAGAGGCGACTAACGGTATCGGGTGGTCAGGCTTACTGGCTTGGTTGACACATGTCATTAGTTCCCACTTGCGCAGATCAATGCTCATGCTGTTGATCACTGGATTATCTTGTGTAGACTTGATGAATTACTTTGGCGTGACTCACTGAAGTGGTATTAACGAGCTGGGGCAAATAATATTGATGTTTGTTTGCTGTTTATATAAGATAACTTCAGGATTTCCATTGTCAATAAAACTTCTCACGACAGAGACTGGGCATTCGCCCTACCTGTGATACTGCTTGTGCACTCCGATAATGCACTTACTCCCCCCAAATTGCGCGCAATGCAATCGTCGAAATCACCAGAACGTCAAATTCAGCTCGTCTTGGGATATATTTACCTGCTGTACCCAAGGAGACTGATACTGCTTGTGCACTCCGATCGTGCACTTACTGCCCCCCTATTGCGCGCAATGCAATCGTCGAAATCACCAGAACGTCAAATTCAGCTCGTCTTGGGATATATTTACCTGCTGTACCCAAAGAGACTGATACTGCTTGTGCACTCCGATCGTGCACTTACTCCCCCCATATTGCGCGCAATGCAATCGTCGAAATCACCAGAACGTCAAATTCAGCTCGTCTTGGGATATATTTACCTGCTGTACCCAAAGAGACTGATACTGCTTGTGCACTCCGATCGTGCACTTACTCCCCCCATATTGCGCGCAATGCAATCGTCGAAATCACCAGAACGTCAAATTCAGCTCTTCTTGGGATATATTTACCTGCTGCACACAAAGAGACTAATACGCCCAAAACATATTTCCAGTTGTGGCTGGAGCGAAGCTGAGACTGTGACTACGGGAGGGAACTGAACAGAGCGTGAGTGAGTGAGTTTAGTTTTATGTCACTTTTAGCAATATTTCAGCAATATCACATTGTACTCATGAGGGGAATTGAACCCGGGTCTTCGGCGTAACGAGCGACCACTTCAACCATTTGTCTACCCCACTGCCCTGAATTGATCAGAGAACTCTGAAACGCCTCATGACCCTAGATTCTTACCACTGACAAAGATGGCGCCGAAGGTGACCAGCAGAAAGAGAGTAACGTGTCTCTGTGACGCCTTCATCAGGTCACTGTTATCTGTAAACATCAACGGATATCAGTTTAAGATTTAAATGAACATTACAATGTCAGCAAAACAAAGTACAGGGTTATACTGGTCACAAAAGTGAAGCTTCCTTTCTGCTTATAAATTAGGAATGGAAACAAATAATTCACATGACATGTCAGCATGATGATTGAATTGAACTAATCAAAACTGTTAATTGCATGTTACAAACTCAACTGACATTTTACTGTGACATGACAAGGTGAGGTGAGGTGAAATTAGGTTTAACGTCGTGCTTGAGAATATTTCGCTCATATGACGCATGCATGCGTGTGTATGTGTATGTGCGGCTGCTTGTACTAGCCCAGACTTAAGCTGGTTTTATAGTGCTAGCCCACTGAGATACCATGCCGCAGTGAAGCATGAATACCCCACCCGGACACATTATACTGACTCCGAGCCGACCAGTCCTTGTTTTACCCATTAATGCCGAGCGCCAGGCAGGGACCAACAAGTACCATATTTTAACATCTTTTGGTATGACGCGGTCGGGGATAGAACCAGCAACCTTCCGCTCTCCAGGCGGACGCTCTAACCACTACACCACGGAGGCGGTCCTGACATGACAAGAAAAGGTAAGAAAATCAGTGGTTCTTTCTGTCAAAGTTACATATTTTCAGAAACTGAGTGTTAATCGAGAGCAGGATGTTCCTTACTTCCCTGTCCATCTCATACTCATATTGATTCACACTGTCACATAGCCTAATGAAATTGATCATGGAATGATACTGAAATCTGTGCATTGTAACATATCATATGGAATATCATGCGAACGACCGACGTGCAGTTGCTGTAACACCAGAACAGCCAACAACAAAACACAATAAGAGTAGCGTACCGCCTTTTTCTGATCCAGTTAGCGAGATGTGTTTTCGGTTTCGATGGGTTCCGGATGTTTATGAAGCTCCTCGTAGCGATAGGCTCTCTTTACACACAACTGCCATGGAGTTGATATAAAATCCGGACGGCGCTCATGTAAGTATTCTGCATCTGATCATACAAAGACGTACTTTGTGTACATGCGGGAAAGAGTGACACGGTCGTTCATCTGTTGGACAGTCTTTAGAATCCCTCACCAAATAAGCGCACGTGAAATCAAACATATGCGTGCCTTTCTGTTTCAGAACATTGTTGCAATTTCCTTAACTGTGACGTTGCAATATTGTTGTACAAATGTACGTATTACACTGACTCCCTCGGCTGTGGTCCGTGACAGAGGTCGTACTTGCCTCATATATTGTTATGGTTTTGTAAGGATTCAGTGCAGTGTTGTTTAGATTACCAAAATAAAGAGATTCCTTTTATACTGTCACTTTTCATTTTGAGGAATACTGTCATTTTTTTTATTTTTTGTGTGTGTGGGGGGATATGTGTGTTTGGGTTGTTGTAAAGAGGGGCTTGCCTGGGTTTAGGGTTAGGGGTAAGGGTTAGTTGTAAGGCTTCAGTGCAGTGTTGTTTACATTACGGAAATATATAGATTCTTTTATATTTTGAGGCATACTGTCATTTTACTTTTAAGGGAGGTTTAGGTCTAGGGCAGCTAGTGGGGTAAGCATTTTAGTACATAAAAATATGTTTTAAATTATGCTTTAAAAGTATGGGAAGGATGGGAAGGGAGGGGTCATTGATTTTGTAAATAACATGCAGGGGGTCACATATTTTGTACATATAATTAAGGGTGTGTCATTCTATTTGTACATGCTTCTCCATAAAACCATCATCATCATCACCAATCACTCACACACACACACACACACACACACACACACACACACACACACACACACACACACACACACACACACACACACACCCCTAGCCATGAACGGTCCCTAATATACAGTATATTACTATTAGCAAACCAACTTCCACCTCGAAACACATGGCAAATATGACCCTACATCTTGAACCCTTGCTTACCGAGACCCTGGTAGCTCAATCGGTAGATTGGGACTTCATATTCGATTATCGTGGGTCCAAAAGTTTCTTCAATGAAGGAGCGTGATGGTCACGTGACATGTGTATGTTACTTTCTTACAAATCAGGGTGAGGGATGTAGCTGTTTGTTCTCATACCTGCCATTACCTGGGGTTTTTTTATCAGCTGTTCCATAACAGAAAGTGTACGTGACGTCATGTCAAGTTGGACACGTCAGCTCAGTGAGTGAGTGAGTTTAGCTTTACGCCGCACTCAGCAATATTCAAGCCATATGGCGGCGTTCTGTAAATAATCGAGTCTGGACCAGACAAACCAGTGATCAACAGCCTGAGCATCGATGTACCCAATCGGGATACGATGACATATTACAGCAAAGTCAGCAACAACCCGATTATTCGCCTCTTACGAGAAGCATGGGTTGCTGAAGACAGATTCTAACCCGGATCTTCACGGGTACTTACCAGCAAGGGAATGTGGATGTGTAATATAATGGATGTGATGTTATCAATAAAACCACATACATGTTTCATTTTACTCACCTATATACTGTGTACCAGATGTTATGTGGCAGTGCTGTTAATTATGTAACAAGTTGGTTTTTTATTGTCTGTTTGCAGTGAAAGCGTACCGATGAATTTCACTTTAAACAAAAAAGTAAATCGAATATTGTGAAATTAAGATTGCGAACCCTCATAATTTTACCTTGCCAATTCAACATTTAAATCTCAGAATTTTATTCAATCATAGTTTCAAATCGCTATTATTGGTTTGTATTACAGGGGGTATGCACATTAAATGAAACACCGAGAACAAATAGAGTTGGTCTGAGTTAACGCTCATCAGGTACCGCACGTGCATTTGTTCCACCAACTGCGCTTATCCTTGTAATACAAACCAATAATAGCGATTCGAATCTATGATCGTTTGTTAAACAACTTCATAGATGGATCCACATGGAGGGTGCAGGGGTGCGCGCGCACACACACATACACACACACACACCTTTTGTGCTGAAAGTTTGTTAAATGACCATTGATACTCTGGTGAAAATGAAGTGTGCGCGCGCACGCCCGCACGCACATCGCGCACACACACACACACACACACACACACACACACACACACACACACACCTTTCTCAAAAAGCTGTATCCGCCCCTGAACTTTTATCCTAAGTTGAATAAAATTCTGAGATACAAATGTTTAACTGGCAAGGTAAAATTATGAAGATTCGCAAACTTAATTTCACGTTATTTGATTTACTTTTTTTGTTTAAAGTAAAATTCATCGGTCCGTTTTCACTGCAAACTGACTATATGTGGTGTTCTAGTGAGGGGCAGTTGTGCGCTATTTTTAGACTTGTACCAGATTCAGACAGAAAGTTCTCGAAGCTGCTACAGGGTACTACAACCCAGTTTGTTGTTGGAGAATCTGGATTAGACTGGATTGTTTATTATAATTAGGACTGACTGACTGACTGACTGAGCTTGGGTTTACGCCGCTTTTTAGCAATATTCCAGCAACATCACAGCGGGGACACCAGAAATGGGCTTCACACATTGTACCCATGTGGGCAATCGAACCCGGGTCTTCGGCGTGACGAGCCAACACTTTAACCACTAGGCTACCCCACCGCCCCTTATAATTAGGAAATACGGTGTGCAATATTGTGGAATGCGACTTTAAATACCAACCACTCAACCACCTAATAATATTGGGAACTATTAGACAAATGCTTATTATGCTATGTACATTAATTCGACTAATTGGGCTAAAAGAGTAGGTCCTTGATGTGTCCATGTTGCAGATCTTGATACCAAGTTTACCCAATCGTTACCAGTAGTAAAAGTAATAGTCCGCTTATATGGCGCTCATATCCAGGCATTACTGCTCGCTTACGCACTACTTTCCGATACTTTTTCAACTCCCTGGGGATCATACAGCCATGCTGCCTGTCAGGCGCAATGAACTGAACACTCACATTGCCAGCACATCCTCACAGGTACCCATTTTACAGCTGGGTAAACTGAGACAATGTGGATCTGAGTATCTTGTCGAAGGTTACTACGCAAATGTGCCCATCATCGGGACCCGAACCTAGGTGCCTCCACCGGGGATCGAACCGGGCCTTCAGCGTGATAGGCAGACGCCTTACCACTGCACTGTTGCGCCCTACTATCAATTACGTGATAAATAACGTCGTTTTCTCCTAAAATAGTGGTAAAGTGAGTGAGTGAGTATGGTTTTACGCCGCACCAGAAATCCCGGGTTCGATTCCCCCACATGGGTACAATGTTTGAAGCCCATTTCTGGTGTCCCCGCCTTTAAATTGCTGGAATAATGCTAAAAACTAAACTCACTGACCTGACCAAGAAGCAAGAATTAGCCCTAAAACGTCCTACAAAGAATAAAAAGAAGTTATCCATAAAATGTGCACGTGTCTTGTATTCATGTTCGTCCAACTTCTAAATGCCTTTCAAAACTACACACATGCTGCATTGGCAGTTGAAGTTTATTCAAAGTTTAGATGTACAATGAATGTAAAACAGATGGTTAAACAAGGTTAGAATCAGTTTGTGAACCAAACGAAAACCATTAAGTACTGTTAACTCACAGACCGTGACTAACATGGGATTCGATCCCGGATAGTTGGGTCTAAACCCACAGTCCCACTTTGTGACAGTTAGATCGTCATACGACTGATAACGTGCCCGTGGAAGATTCTGCAGTGCAATATTTAGGCGATATTATCCTAGCTTATTACCTACGAGGGCGAACATATCGGGATTCATATTTTTCATACGATGCCCTAGGGCAAAATATCGCTTTGTCATGGTGACGTGACGTCATGAACAATGCTATGACGTCACGTTTCTTCTGTGACGTTGCGTTCTACATGTGGCGACGGCGGGTAGACGGCCTATGTTTGAAAGTAGATTTGGGCTATTTTCCTCAATTTGACGACTTCGGTAATAAACAGAACATTATATTCGTGCCCATGTCATACTATAGTTTACGACACTCGTGCCTAAATATCGGTATGTATATCCTCGCTCTCGCTCGGGAAATACCAACATGTAGGCACTCGTGTCGTAAAACATAGTATGACATGGGCACTCATATAATATCCTCTATGTAATACCGCTAAACTTATGTCGTTACAGTGGTTTACAGTTATGACGTCATAAAGCTAATGCCCTGTCACAACGTTATCAGACCCTTGCTTGATTGAGAGTCATCACACTGTAGGCAGTTTCTATCAATTTATGTTGGAGACTAATAAACAGAATACTAAACTGGTTTCCATGAAATACTATTTTTATATAACTCGTGAAAGATTTAGTATCAAATCATTAAGTCGTTTAATAAAAAATTGCATTACACGGAAGGTCGTTTTTTTCCCTCTATACATTACAATGCACTGCATAAATGTGAAGTCGACACGTTATGCTGTCAGGGTAGCTGGACTCTGAACAGGAGCCGTTCTTGCTGTTAAGTGTTCACTTAGCAGGACACAAATTTTGTCAAGGATGCACAAATCTCAGCAGGAGACCTTCTTGTTGTTAACATAGAACGCATAATAACAGCCCCCGCAGTAGCTTTCACTGTAAAGAAGAAGAGTAGAAATGAAACAAATGAATAATGATAAAATTATGTTTCAGAAATATACATGGTCATGTTTGAACGAATATCCATCGGCACCGTGATTCATTCTAGAGTTACGTCCCTTGGATGTGCCAGAACCCCGATGATGATGGTTTTGAATCTCAGATACGCCATGATATAACTGAATTACTGTTTAAAGCCGTGGGCGGTGGGTAGCCTAGTGGTTATGACATTCGCTCGTCACGCCGAAGACCTGGGTTCGACTACCAACATGGGTACAATGTGTGAAGCCCATTTCTGGTGTCCCCGCCGTGATATTGCTGGAATATTGCTAATTATAAATCGGCGTAAAACCAAACTCACTCACTCACTGTTTAAAGAGGGTTAAACATTTCTCACACTGTCACTGTGATACGAAACATCGATATGGGGTACTTTGCTTATGTCGATGTTAGACACCTACAGGCGTGTACCAGTGTACCAGGATACACTGACTATTACACTAAAAGACACAACAACGACACACAGACACAGGAACTCATTAGGCAAAATGATTGATAATTGCTTGTGTCGATATCAGACATACTG